GGGGGGGGTAACTGCCGGAATCCTGACACCTGGAACTCTGCCCTTCGATACGGCCCGAGGGCTAATCGATCAAAACAAATAAAACTGGGGCTGAATGGCCGGCTTGCCTTGAAGAAATTGGAAGTTTCCAGAAGTCCCGTCTGACCAGCTGTCCCCCCCACCCACCCAACCACATACACACACACACACACACAAACACACCACTAGGGATGAACCTGTTTTCCAAAGCACGCAAGGCCGGGACAAGAAGTTAACAGGTGGAAGTTTATCCAAGAGAAATCCAACCAGGGAATCCTCTGCTCACACGGTTCACACCGGTTCAGCCGAACCGGTTGTTGATTTTGTGGCCAGTTTGGCGAACCGGCAAATCCACCCCTGGCTGGCCCCACCCGGGAGTCCCTGCATGGCCCGTTTTGGATCGCAGGAAAGTACAGGGCCTGCGTGGAAGCTCCGGGAGGACAAAAAAATGGGCCGCCTGGAAGTTCTGGAAGGCCAGAAATGGGCCCGTTTCCAGTCTCCAGAGATGCCTCCGGAGCCTGGGGAGGGTGAAAACAGCCCCCCCCCACAGCCCATTTCTACTCCCAGGCCAGGGTAGTGAAGGATGCTGACTAGGCCACGCCCACCGTGGCCACGCCCACCCGGCAACTGGGCCACAGAACCGGGTGCTAAATTTTTTGAAGCCCGCCCCCGCATCCAACCTAGAAATAAAGAGAAATTTCCCGACGCTAAGAACAATGAACCAGTGGAACAGCTTGCCACCAGAAGTTCTACCTGCTCCAACACTGGAGATTTTTAAAAATAGACTGGACCACCATTTGTCTGAAATGACATCAGGTCTCCTGCTTGGGCAGGGGGTTGGACTAGAAGACCTCCCAGGTGCCTTCCAATTCTGTTATTCTATATTCTAGCAATCCAGACGTTGTGGGTGCTCCAGCACTGGAAGTTTTGAAGAAGAGATCGGACAACCGTTTGTCCAACATGGTCTCTTGCTCAAACGGGGTTGGACTAGAGGACCTCTCAGGTCCCTTCCAATTCTGTTACGCCCTTATTCTTCCTTCCTTCCCTGAAAGCCCTCATAAAAGGAGTCTCTTCCCCTCTCGTTCTGCAGGTACCGACCTTCCCAGAAGTTGGATGGTGCAACAGAGGGGGGGAGCATCAGTGCCCCCCACACTACCCCCGAAGAGTCAGTAGCGGCCCAGTGTCAACACCACCAGCAATACATTGGTGAGAAATGCTTCCGATTGCCTGCTGTCGGTCTTGGTCAATAAAGTGCATTTTACAGGACCCCCAAATTTTTTTACCTTCTTTGGGTTTAATGATTCGATTTACTTGCCACCCTATATCCTTATCCGACATGATGTGCCGGCAGCCCTCCAGCAGCCAAATCAGGAGGAGGAGGAGGAGGAGGAGGAGGTGTGGGAGTCAGGGTCAGCATCAGAGTAACCTGATGGTGTGGTTAGCCAGCAGCAGGTGCGGACGGCGGAGGAGAGCGAGGACTCAGATGAGGGGCCGGGACCATTGGGGAGTGGACTGCTGCCTTGGGAGATTGTGGGGGCTGGCAGCAGCGATGAGTTTCCTGAGGAGCCTGTGCCAAGCGCACATGCGCGCAGGTTTGCTCGGAGGAAAGAGCAGTTACAACAGCACGGGCGACTCAAGAGTAAGGCTGCAAAGTAATGGCCCCTCCTTCAAGAAGATAAAAGGCAGCTGTGCAGAGAACGTACTTTGCAGGAAGCAAAGACGTTTTGAAAACTCCAGCCTCCTGGACATTCCAGTATCCTGAGTTTATATTTGAAGATTCTTATTTTGCAAATTATTTCTTGTCTGTTATCTTTTGGCAAGCCTCGCACAGGTAGGTCCCTGGCAGGTAGACGGTACATAAATTTAATCTATATATAAATTTGAATCCCAGGCTCCAAGCCAGCGCCTCAAAGCCAGATCGTGCGAGGCTTTGAAGTACAGAGAGCCCTCTGCTTGCAACCATTTGTTTAGTGATTGACGTTATGACAGCACTGAAAAAAAGTGACTGTTTTTCACCCTTACGACCATTGCCGTGTCCCCGTGGTCAAGTGGCCCAGGATTGTGACCTTCTGATAAGCAAAGTCAATGGGGATTCACTTCACGACCGAGGGACTAACTTTACCATCACAGGGGTTCCCCCTTAGCCACTGTGGCCAGAAAAGTCGTAAAACGGGACACAACGTATTAACCATGGAAACTTGGGTCACAATTGTGGTCGTTAAGTCAGAAGGGCTACTGGTAATATCTTGCGATTCGCGGTGGATCACCAGTGGGCAGTTAAGATTCCGCCTAATTTTGCCAGCCGTATAACAAAAATTTAGCCGCATTGACTGAAACTACATGGCTGCCCTGAAGATGCTTCCGAAATGGGTGTATTAACTGGAACCCTGATACTACAATTATGGCAACGGTGCATAAAACAAACAAAACCCCTCCCAAACAATTTTTTTTCTTGCCCCGCAGACGTCACTCACGTGCTGCCTGAATTCCCGGTCCTGAATCCGGAAAGCGTCCTCCTGCAGGAAGGGATCGAGACGCGCGACCTCCAGGCTCTGCAGCTCTTCTACCGCCGGCATTGCGAGGTGATTCTGTGAGGCCAGGTTTGATGCGGCCCTTCCTGGGGGGCCCTGCCTCCATTGGCTCGCTGTGCGGCGTCTAATTGGCAACCACGGGAGCACCTCTGTCCAGAGATGCCTTGCTCCCTCGGTCTCCCGCACGCTGGAACGAAATCTGATGGGGGCGGGGGGCGTCTGTCCCTGCAGGCCAACGTCGAAGTGGTGGTGAGCCTCCAGCTGCCATTCCTCGAGAAACTTTGGCGTTCCTTCTGGAATTCCGAATCCATCCCCAGCCGGACGGGCGCTTCTGCTGCCGGAGCCTCCAGGTAACACCACAGGCCTCTCTGCTTCCCGTGACAGTTAGGCTCAAAGTGAATTCAGAGGCGGCCTCCACAACCTCCGCAATCACACCGCCACTCCCTGCCGGCTGTCCCTCCTCTCCCTCAGAGCCTGGCTGTTAACAAGGGCATGACACGCTCTCTTTCTGCTGTCAACTAAAAAGACCAAACGAGCATATTTTTTTAGTGGACAGTGGGGGACCACCTGTATTTTAACTCTGCCCTCGAAGCGTTGGCTCCGAATGCGGAGACGAGTCCTTGGAGGGGATTTTTTTAGGAAGAGGGGCGGCCCGGATGCTTTCAGTCATGCCTTCCCTTTGCAGCGAAGAGTCCTACGAAGCCATCCTCCCGAGACACCAGCTGATCGCCTTATGCAAACACGAGCCCATCCTGGCCTGGATGCGGAGCTGTGACCACCTCTTGTACCAAACCCTGGTGGAGATTCTCATCCCGGACGTTCTCCGGCCTGTTCCCGGTGCGTAAAAGGGACCAGGGTGTCTGCGTGTGTGTGTGTGCGTGCGTGGGTGCACGAACCCGCCTCTTCCTCTTCCCCATTCAGCTCAGACTCCTCCATCACCGAGTTTTCGATCATATTTCCTCTCCGCAAATCCTTGGGGGCCTTTTCTTTTTTTATAAAGTTTTTTATTTTTCTAAACAAACACAGACAAAACAATACATAAAAACATGAAACCATCTTTCAGTTACGTACAGTGTGTCGACTGGTTGCGTTTATTTTGTGCTACGTGTCTGTAGTCCTCCTTCACAAGTCCCATAAATTCTCATATTTTCCATTTTATGTATATATATAAGTATTATTATCATTATGGTTCTTTCATTTAACAATAACTATTTGTTCCACCACTTCATATAGGATATTCAACATTTTAAACCAATATGTAATGTAACTTCCATTGCCACTGCATCTAATAAAAAATACATTCTTATATCATTTTCTCTTAAATTCTATTATTTTTATATTGCAAATTTATCTATAAAATATATCATTTCCACACTTTTTTTTCTTACCATTGATAAAATAAATCCCATATCTTATAATACTGTTTTTTTTTCTTGTTCTCTAATTTCAAATGTCAATTTACTCATTTTCAGCACATTCCACTATTTTCTTAATAACTTCCTCCTGTGTTGGTATTTCCTCCTTTTTCCAATTCTTTGCAAATAACAATTCTAGCTGCTTTTAGTACATTCACAATCAAATGTATCAGTTCTCTACTGTATATCTCTGGTACAATACCTTGGGGGCCTTTTTTTAAGCTTCCCGTTCTTTAAGGGATTTGAACACGGGGCATCGGTGGAGAGTTTGAGGTTCTCGCCAGCCTGAAAAACCTCAGAGTTGTTCCAGAGGGTAGGATAAGGAACTGGATTTCAATAACCAGCCATGGGGAGAAAGCGCCGTGGAAACATACTGCTTTGGGCAGTGGCGGGTTCTCTTTTGATGGGGAGGGGTTTAGCGGGTACCAAAATACAGATTCCTGCTCTGGCCGGGTTTCTCAGTCTCACCTACTTTAAAATGGGTAGACTTCCAACTCCCAGAATTCCCCTTTTGGTCTTGTGGTTCTGAACGGTGTGTACGTGTTATTTATCTCTCTGTGCCCGTTGATGGCTGGTTTGCCTCAGTCTCACACAATTCTCTAGCGTATTTTGGATTGGTAAAAAAAATAGCTCCCAACAAATCCACCTCCATTCAAATCATAAGTCTCTAGCCACATCTCTCAGAGTAAAAAAAAAAAATGATTTATTAGGAGCGGCCATGTTGGCATTAGCCTGGGTGCAACTGACACTAAAATACATTCATTCATCACCCTGGTCTTCCTCCCACCCCCCCTAGGTGTATATTCTCCAATGGGACACATCCATAGCCAAGAGTCATCAATCATGCTCTCCAATAATAATCTTGCACGCAGACAGCTTTGGACTGCCTAGCAGTTATCTGAAGCATTTAAGGAATGCGCTGCTTTCTCTCCCTTTCTGCTGGCAACTAAAAAGATCAAAGGAGTATTTTTTTAGTTGACAAACAGTTGTTTTAGGAACTACCGAGTAGAAATCAATGCTCCTGCTGTACCTTACACTAAACAGGGCAACCCACTTGTATCTACACAGCACTCCCTTCAACTCTGATGATGTCACCTACTTGTGTCACCTATCAGCACCAAGGACCCCATAATCCTCCTCCTCCTCCCTTTCTCCTCCTCCTCTTCCTCCTCCTCCGCCTTTCCTCTCCCCATTCCACAAAGCCCTCTCCATCCTAGCCCTGAAGATATTTCCTAATACAGTGGTGTCATGGTGGCACAATGGTTAGAATGCCGTATTCCAGGCTAACTCTGCCCACAGCCGGCAGTTCGATCCTGACAGACTCAAGGTTGACTCAACCTTCCATCCTTCCTTCCGAGGTCAGTAAAAGGAGGACCCAGATTGTTGTGGGCCATAGGATCACCTGAGTAGTACAAATGGCGTGTGGGGCCATCTTAGAACTGCTGACCACATCGTCCGTCTCTGGTCTACCACAGAGTCCATTCAGCAGTTCCAAGGTGACCCCCGAGGTCGCAGGTAAAACCACCAAGCGGCCTCAACGACTCTCTTAAAAAGGATGCAAATGTCCCAGCGGTCTGCAAGGAGTCTCCATCCTTCCCTTCCCCAACCATCCAGTCAGAGCTGAAGAAGAAGCTTCTTGGAGGAGAAGCGAACCCTCTCCAAACGAAAAATCAGAAAACTCCAGTTGCTTTTTTTTTTGAGGGGGGGGGGAAGAAGCCCCTTTGGGTCTTCCGGTCGGGGATCGCAGCTGCCCGTCTCGGCTGAGGCCGCTCCCTTCTCTTCCGCCGCAGGCACCTTGACCCAAGCCATCCGCAACTTTGCCAAGAGCCTGGAAGGCTGGCTGATGAGCGCCATGAGCGAGTTCCCGCAGCCCGTGGTCCAGAGTAAGGTAAGCAAGCAGCGCCGTGGTCTCCCCCACCCCCCCCACCCCACCCCCCCAGGAACAAAATTCCCACCCAAAATGTCACCCTCGCTACCCTCTTCCTCCTTGAAGGGGGCACCGGGACGCCAGGGCCGGCTCTCGACCTCGTCTTGCCAAGGACACGATGGTGCCCTTTGCATCCGTGGTGGGATTCCGTGGAGACCCATGACCGACCTAATCTCTCATCTCGGGTGCGCGCACACACACACACACACACAAAATATCTTTAAAATTTAGAAAGGGAAGGTCGACCCTGAAAGTGAGCCGAAACGAGAAAGTTACCCTGTGGGAACCAAGGACCTTCTCACAGGGGGCTGGCCAGAGGAGGAGCCAAGTAACCAAGCAACCGGGCAGCCTTTTGATTGGACCGTGCGACTGTTTGTTTGGGGAAACTTTGAGGGAAACTTTGACTTTTAATCAGGTGAAAGCCGCGGGAACTTTCAGAGTCGGTTTTTCACCAGTTTGTGCCCATATATGATGTATCCAATCAATTGTTCCTTGGGTAATTTTGTCTGCCTTGGAGGTGTCACCATAAGTATCGGGGGGGGGGGACTGCTTCCTCCTGGCTTCCTACCTGGGCAGCCTCCTGCTCTCTCTCTTCCCCCAGGTGAGCGTGGTGAGTGCCTTTGCCCAGACCCTGCGCAGGTACACCTCTCTGAACCACCTGGCTCAGGCCGCCCGGGCCGTCCTCCAGAACACCTCCCAGATCAACCAAATGCTCAGCGATCTCAACCGGGTGGATTTTGCCAACGTGCAGGTCAGTTCAGGACTCGGGGGTCTCCTGGGCGTGTTGGTGGGGGTGGGTGGGCGGGCAGCAGGCAGGGCTGCCTTGCGGCCATGGGCACCCTGGTGGGTGGGACTCCTAGTCCGGCACTTCTGTAGCAGGACGCGGCCCGAAAACGACACTGTGTAATAGAGTTTTTGTTTGCCAGAAATAGTGAGAATTTGGGAATTAAGAGTAGGGGGTCGCTTGGGGCTCTCTGAGCTGGGTGGTGTTTCTTGCAGACGTTTCATGACCCAACTAGGGAACTTCATCAGTGATAGAAGGGAGTGGAGTTTGCAGAGAGGAGGGGGAGGAGGAGGAAGGGGAGGAGAATGACTGTGGGGTCCTCAGTGCTCTCTGAGCTGGGTGGTGTTTCTTGCAGACGTTTCATGATCCGACTCGGGAACATCATCAGTGCTACTGAATCTTTTACTTATTTTTATTTATTTATGTTTGTTTGTCAATTGCTTACAAGATAATAGGTATAAGTAAAAACATAGTTATGAATACATGGATACATATAAGAAAAATAAAAGAAACAATAGGACAGGGACAGTAGGCACATTGGTACACTTATGCATGCCTCATACAGACCTCTTAGGAAAGGGGTGAGGTCAATAGTAGAAAGTCTAAGGTTAAAGTTTTTGGGGTTTGGGGAAGAAACCACAGAGTCGGGTAGAGGATTCCAGACATTGACCACTCTGTTGCTGAAGTCGTATTTCCTGCAGTCGAGTTTGGTGCGGTTAACCTTGAGTTTGTATCTATTGTGTGTTCTTGTGTTGTTGTGGTTGAAGCTGAAGTATTCATTGACAGGTAGGACATTGCAATGTATGATTTTATATACTATACTTAGATCAGACCAAAGGCGGCGTAGTTCCAGGTTTTTTAGGTCTAGAATTTTAAGTCTGGTGGCATAAGGTATACTACAACGAGTAGAGGAGTGGAGAACTCTTTTTGTGAAATATTTCTGGACTTTCTCAACCGTGCTAATATCAGATACGTAATGTGGGTTCCAGACTGATGAGCTGTAGTTGAGTATTGATCTAGCAAATGTTTTGTATGCTCTAGTTAGTAGTGTGATATTACCTGAGAAAAAGCTACATAGGATTAGGTTAACAACTCTTAACGCCTTTTTGGCTATGTAGTTGTAGTGGGCTCTAGCACTTAGATAGTTAGAGATGAGAACTCCAAGGTCCTTGACAGAGCTTGGATCATCAACAAGGTCTTGACTATTCAGCTTGTATTTTATTTTCTGATATATTTTTTGCCAATATGTAAGACAGAACATTTATTTGTTGAGATTTGAAGTTGACATTTGTTTGACCATTCTGATACACAGTCAAGGTCTTTTTGAAGCGTAGCTGTATTGTCTGTGGTGTTGAATAGCTTTACATCATCAGCGAAAAGAACGCAGTTGCTCTTGATATGATCACAGAGGTCATTTATGTAGAGGATGAAAAGAGTTGGTCCTAGAACACTGCCTTGGGGGACACCACTGTTGACAGGTACAGAATTTGATAGGACGCTCCCAATTTTGACTATTTGTTGTCTGTTTGCCAGGAATGCTTCTATCCAGCTGTGCAGTTGTCCAGAGATACCATAAGATTTTAGTTTTAGGAGCAGTTTCTCGTGTACCACTGAATCAAAGGCTTTACAGAAATCTATGTAGATTGCATCTATTGCTTTGCCTTGATTGAGTTATGTAGTCCATATGTTTTTGCAGTGTAAGAGTTGCAGATTGCAGGATAGTTTTTTTCTGAAACCAAATTGTTTATTAGAGAGTAGGTTATTTGTCTCTAAGTGGAGGATGATGGATTGGTTAATAATTGATTCCATGACTTTACAGGTAACGCAGCATAAGGAGATTGGGGATGACCGTGGCTTGTGACCATAGTTTTGGCAAGGAGCTGGTCCTGAAAGATTTTTCAAAGAGTATGCGTAGAGGTTCTGCTATGGCAGTGGATAGCTTTTTTAAGAAGTAGGCATATATTCTGTCCGGTCCAATAGATAGAGATGGTTTCAGATTGTGCAGTGCTTTTTCAACAATGTCTTCTGTAAAATCAATATGTATTAGATCATTGTACAGTAGTTGTCTGTGGTTAGGCTAGGAAATACTGGGCATGATCCATTGCTGTTTACAAATACTGAGCCAAAGAATGTGTTAAAGAGGTTGGCTTTAATGGTGTCGTCGTTGCAGTCTTTACCATTACGTCCTTACAAGGGTGGGATGGACCTTGAGTCTTTTAGTTTGCTGTTTACAAAATTGTAGAAAGCGCGGGTGGAATTGGTGCGTAGAAGGTTTTCTTATTGTTTAATGTGATAATTGGTGCATTCAGTTTTTATCTGGTGGCATAAATTTTTGTATTGGCTTTTGAAGTTGGCAACGCGACCAGATTTGTTTTTCCGCCAACGTGATTTCTTTTTGGATTGAAGTTTCCTTATTGTTATGGGTAATTTTTTTTTTTTTCTGGTTTTGGGAGTTGTTAATGGTACATATAGTTTGATGACTTTTTTGACTTCAATTAAAAATATGTTGTAATGGTCTTCTACAGTATTGCATCCAGTGAATAGAAATTGCCAATCAAGGGATGAGAAATCGTTGTTTATAAGGTCATAGTTGCCTTTTTTGAAGTTATAATTGGGGATTCTGTCTTTGTGATGATTTTTGTGTGGACGTATGTTGAGACAAAAGTCAATCATGTTGTGGTCACTGTTGGAAAAGGGTTCTTTAATTCGTATTCCGTAAATTGAATTCAAACTATTTCAGAAGATGAGATCGAGGCAGTTGTTAAGTCTAGTGTTGTTACTTACTAGTTGTTCTATTCCCAGATTTGTTACTGCATTGTAAAAGGTTGTATGTGTGGGTTCAGTTGTACATTCGTTTAGGGTCCAGTTAAGATGAGGTAGATTGAAGTCACCAAGAAAGATAAAAGCGTGTGGGCAGGATGCTTCCCAAGTTAGTAGTGTATTTAGCTTGTTTGCATGTTCGATGTCATAATCAGGGGCTCTGTAATATAGTAAGAACCGAAATGTGATATTTAAGGACAGTTCACAGATGATGGTCTCAGGAATAGCAAGCTCCTGGGTAACTTGGATGTTTTTTAGATGTAGGGACTTTTTATAGAAGATAGCAACACCACCTTCTCTATGAATTTCACGATCTGACTGGTAAACATGATAGTCTCTTACTGTGGTAATGGAGTCAGGGGGAGATGCATTGAGCCATGTTTCACAGACAAATATCATGTCGAATTTAGCCGCATTTATTAAGAGGAGAAATTGCAAGGCTTCTTGGATTGAGTAGCTTGCATTTAAGGCCAGTTGTGGTTGGAATAGAGGTAGTTAGTGGCGTGCATGCCTAGTTTTGAGTGATGTTGGATTGGGTGGGGTGGGGTTGGATGTGGAGTTGTGGGTTGTGTGACTTTCTTTTGATTCAATCAGCTCTATAGTCAACGTACAGGTCCTTGTCTCCATTGTCTAGACGGTTTTTGAGTTCTGCGTGGAGTTCATGGGAGTGGATTCTTTGTAGTATGGATAAATCTGGTCTCGAGCGAAGTTTTTTGTGGTTGGGATTGGTTTTTGCAATGGCATTTATTGTATGAAAGAATATGCGTTTGCTGGACTCATTTTTGCATACAACTCTACAAAATCTTGGGGCCACAGAGCCGTCATTGTATTTGTACCCATGGCCATCTCTGGTTATTTCAATGATATCTTCAGGAGAGATGTTTGTTGTATTAGAGTTGCTTATGATATCACAAACTTTGGTGATGTTGTCTGATTCGTTGGTGTCTTCGAGTCCAAATAAGATGGCCTTTGGACGTTTCTGTTCACGTTCCATGGTGTCTTTGATGAGTAAGGAGATATTATTTGTGGAATTATTTGAAGGGATAGTAATTGTTTGTGGTTGTGGTTTGGTGGTTATTTTTGGTTGTATGTGATTGTAGTTGAGGTCGCAGTTGTGGTTGTTGTGGGATTTGATTTTGAGCTGATAGGTACTCACTTATCCGTGCTGTATTTTTTTTTTTCAAGAGAGATTAGGCTTGCTTGTATAGTTGTTTCAAAATTTGTTGCAAAGCGTTCTTCTATTGAGTGAATGAGTGATTTTATGTTTTCAACTCTGTCAGGTAGGGTACTCAGTTTGTTTAGCTTAGGAGAACATGATGGACATAGAAAAAAGAATGTATCTGAATTTTTAACCATATCAGCTAGGTTTTTGTTTGCGTTTAAGCAGGCAGGGTGGGCTAGATTATCCCATAGGTGTCATTTGATGTAAATTTCGCTTTCATTGATGGTTTCAAGACATTTGAAACATGTGCAGGAGTCTGGAGGTCATTGGTAAAGATATTTTTCTTTTGTTTTGGTTTGGAGTTTTTCGCTGGCATGGTACAGTAATCAATTACAATAGCTAGTTAATGTGATAGGTAGAGAGTTACTTAATGAATGTTGGTAATTAATAAATGTAATTGATATGTTAGAGAACAAATCAAAAGTAAGGTTGCTTATTACTAAAAATCAATTGATCAATTGGTTATTCAAATCACTCTAATCAAATTTTGCTCAGCAACGAACAGCCTAATTTATTACAGTAATTACTAAACACAGTGGTCAATTAAATTCACTAAATCACTGATTTTACTAATCAGGTATTCAGTAATTACACTATATGCACTAAACATTCAATCATACTAAGCAAAAAACAATAAATCAATCATTTGATGAAAATTAATTATTTTAAAGAAATTGATTTTTTGCGATAATGAAAGTAAGTAGTATGAAGCAGTATTGAGAGTTGGTAAGTAAAGGGTTAATGCTTTGCTTTGTTTTGCTTAGCTGTTGCTGATATCTGAGAATAGGTTTATAACCCTTGATAAACTGGCACAAGGTCTCTTTTCCTGGGCTGTTTGAAAACAATCAATGAGCAAGGGTTTACACTCCCTTTCTTGTTTTGTAGATTGAGTTTTTGAGATTGTAAAGATGCAAAGATGTTGACGGGGGATCTCTGGCCCCTTCTTCAGCAGAGATAAACAGAACAATTCACTGGGAGGCAACAGGAAATTTTTTGTTTTGTTTTCCCTTGATGAATGGGATTTCTGGCCCCCTCCTAGTTAATTTAAATATGTTTTCCAAGTTTGTTGCTTTTAAGAGAAAGAGAAAGAAAGATAGTCTTGCACTGGCAATTTGAACAGTTTATATTTTTACTATGTCGACTCCGATTTGTATTGAGCATTCGCTCCTGGCTTCAATATACTTCTGCTTATATCACCGGAAATAAAATTGCTTCCAATCTTCAGAGGAAGATATATTGGTTATAACAATACTTCCCTATTTATTGAAGGTCCAAAGTTACTGTCCTTTTAAAGAGAAAGTCCAGATTTGCAATTTGGGGAAGAGGGAAGAGGGAAGGAGGGGCGGCAGGGGGGAAGGAGTCTGTTTCACACCCTGGCTGCAAACACCCAGGCTGAAAACAGGATGGGCTCCCTGTTTAGGTACAGTACCTTACCAAGGAGAAAATCAACACTCCTCATTAATGCTGGCAAGTGACGGTGTTATCATGTTGGGTAGTGAAATGTCTGCAAGAAGACCACCACCAAGGGCCCCCACCGAAAGAGAAACCCAGATAAGCAGGGATCAACACCAGACAAATAATCAACGCTGGCAAGCCAAGCTACCATATGTAAACACAGAGCAACTTCCAGAGAGGCAGAGAGGCAGAGAGGCAGAGAGAGAGAGAAAGATAGAGAGAGAGAGAGAGAGAGATGATAAATAGATAGATAAGTAGGTTTGTAGGTAGGCAGGCAGAGACAAAGTAAGTAGGTACTGTAGGTAGGTAGATAAAGATGATTGATAGACGGATAATGGATAGATGATGGATGGGTGAGTGGGTGGGTGGGTAGATAAGTAGGTAGATAGGCAGGCAGATAATAGGTTGGTTGGTAGGTAAGTAGGTAGGTAGGTAGACACACACACACTCAGAGACATGATAGGTAGGTAGGTAGGTATGTAGATAGATAGGTAGACAGAAGACACACAGATGATGATGATAGATAGATAGATAGATAGATAGATAGATAGATAGATAGATAGATAGATAGATAGATAGATAGATAGATAGATAGATGATAGATAGATAGAAGATAACAGATAGATAGATAGATAGATAGATAGATAGATAGATAGATAGATAGATAGATAGATAGAAAGAAGATAAAATAGATAGAATGTGCACTCGTCGCCATACCCTAAAATGAAATTTCGTTGCATTCAGCTACATTCTAACACTGATGATGCTACCTAGTTGAGTCATGAAACATCTGCAAGAAAACCACCAATCTCAGAGACCCCCAAGGACCCCAGAATCCTCCTCCTGATTCTCCTCCTCCTCCTCCTCCACCACTCTGCAGTGCAAAACCACTCTCTTCTAGCTCTGATGACGCTACCTAGTTGGGCAGTGAAACATCTGCAAGAAAACCACCCAGAACCCCTCTGTCGTTGTCCTCCTCCTCCTCCTCCTCCTCCCTCCTTCCCTAGCTCTGATGGTGTTATTTAACAGGGTCATAAAACGCCCGCCAGGAAGCTCAGAGGGCGCCCAGGGTCCCCTTTCTCCTCCCTGCCAACCTTCTGCAAACCCTCCTCCCTTCTGGCACTGATGAAGTCACCAAGTTGGCTCATGAGACGCCTGCAGAAGGAAACCCGCCCAGCTCCTCCTCCAACCTCCTCTTCTCTGGGTCTCTCTCCCTCTCCCTCTCCCCCTCCCCTCCCCCCCGGGCAGGAGCAAGCCTCCTGGGTCTGCCAGTGCGAAGAGGGGCTGGTGCAGAAACTGGAGCACGATTTCAAGGTGACGCTGCAGCAGCAGAGCTCCCTGGACCAGTGGGCGAGGTGGCTGGGCCAGGTGGTGTCGCAGGTGCTGAAGCCCCACGAGGGGGCGGCCAGCTTCCCCCGGGCGGCCCGGCAGTTCCTGCTGAAGTGGTCCTTCTACAGGTAAGCGCCCCCCCCACCTCGCCCCTCCCGGCCCCTCCTCTGTGTGTGTGTGTGTGTGTGTGTGTGTAGAAACTGACCGGTTACTGCGGTCTGCTCTGCTAGCTTTCTCCTTGGGGAGGGTTCCCTTACCTGGAAGAGCCTGTCGTGACGCCATCACGTTGTATCTAAACACGAACACCGACACGATCCTGCGCTGGAGTTGTAGTGATGGTGTTACCCAGCTGGGTAATGAAACGTCTGCAAGCAAACAGACGAGTTCAGAGAGCACCGAGGACCCCACAGTTGTTGTTGTTGTTGTTGTTGTTGTTCTTCTTCTTCTTCTTCTTCTTCTTCTTCTTCTTCTTCTTCTTCTTCTTCTTCTTCTTCTTCTTCTTCTTCTTCTTTGAGTAATGAAACATCTGCAAGAAAACAACCATGATCAGAGACCCCCAAGGACCCCACAGTCCTCCTCCTTCCCTCTCTCTCCCTCTGTCTTCCTCCTCCTCCTCCTCCTCCCTGCAAACTCCATTTCCTTCTAGCACTGATGACATTACCTAGCTGGGCCATGAAACGTCTACAAGAAAACAGTCTTGTTCACAGTGCCCCCCCCCCCCCCGCAAGGACCTCTCAGTTCAACCCTGCAAATACTCCCTTCTATCAGCACACGCACGCACGCACACACACACACACACACACACCCAGACGTGTCGCTTTGCCGAGAGCCCTCCCCCCACACCCCCGGGGCAGGGAAAGGCCCCTCCTCTCTTACCAAGGCAGGGAGGGCCTCCCCCTCCCCTCCCCCTCCCCCCCCAGGGTCTCAGGCTAAGCTGCCGGGCACCCCTTCCTTTCTCCCCCAGCTCCATGGTGATCCGCGACCTCACCTTGCGCAGCGCCGCCAGTTTCGGCTCCTTCCACCTGATCCGCCTCCTGTACGACGAGTACATGTTCTACCTGGTGGAGCACCGGGTGGCCGAAGCCACGGGGGAGACGCCCATCGCGGTGATGGGAGAGGTGAGAGCGCCGGGAACGAGCCGGGGGGGGGGTCACAGAAGAACAAGAGTTGAGAGGGACCCTTGGAGGTCTTCTAGCCCAACCCCCGGCTGGAGCAGGAGACCTTGCAGGGCAGGAATCATGGCCGGGGGGGGCAGGGGAACATGGGTCCCCTGCTTAGCGGTGTGGGGGCGGTCTAGGCCACGGGAAAACTCGCTGCAGGACAAGACTTGCACTGATGTCGAGCAAAGGGAGGGATGCGGTGGTCACAAGGCAGCATTGCAGGCTAATTCTGTGGACTGCCAGCAGTTCGACCCCTGAGCGGCTCCAGGCTGACCGGCCTCCCGTCCATCCTTCCGAGGTCGGTAAAAGGAGGAGCCGGATTGTTGTGGGGCAAGAGGCTGACTCTGTAAACCCCTTAGAGAGGGTTGTAAAAGCCCTCTGAAGCGGCATATAAGTCTAAGTGCTAAGTGGGAAGGAAGGAAGGAAGGAAGGAAAAGAAAGGGAAGGGAGGGAGGGAGGAAGGGAGGAAGGAAGGAAGGAAGGAAGGAAGGAAGGAAGGAAGGAAGGAAGGAAGGGAAGGAAGGGAAAGAAAAGGAGGGAAGGAAGGAAGGAAAAGAAAGGGAAGGAAGGAAGGCAAAGAAAGAGAAGGAAGGAAGGATGGAAGGAAGGAAGGAAGGAAAAGGGAAGGAAGGAAGGAAGGGAAGGAAGGGAAAGAAAAGGAGGGAAGGAAGGAAGGAAAAGAAAGGGAAGGAAGGAAGGAAGGAAGGAAGGAAAAGAAAGAGAAGGAAGGAAGGAAGGAAGGAAGGAAGGAAGGAAGGAAGGAAGGAAG